AAGATATAAACACTAATAATTGTTTGTGATTCAAAAACACTATTAATTGTTGATTACTAATAATATATATCAAAAGTTATAGCGTTTTACCATAATTCTATATTAATGTCGTTATAAAAATTAGACTCTTGACAAAATTAATTCAATAAATATCCCTAACTTGATAACCCTAAATATTAATTATTAATTCGGTCTTAATCAACATACAACTCCGCGCTGGGCGCGGGGACCTCCCCTAGTTGATTATTATTCAAGAAACATCAATCTAAATCGTTGTTTGATTTCAGGTTTACTTCGGTTCAATTTAATTTATTTGTTTTGGGATGTGGTTTAGATGGGTTGGTTATTTTTTATTGATTTATTTGGGTGTGATTTTAATTGATTTTTATTTAACTCTAATCAACTGGTTATGTCGCCATTAGGTAGAAAATGTGAGGGAATTAACCAAAACAAATATATAGACAAATACACACATATATATATATTTTGAAGCATGTCATACATTAGTTTATCCTATTTTCTATATACATTGTTTTAATTTATCATCCATTTTAAAGAAATAATCAATGAATTAGAGTAATGTATCCAGTATTTAATTATTTTTATTAATAATTATGTGAGAAAATCTAAATCAGTTTTTTTTGTTTGGTGAAAATTTTAAAAAGTTTGAAAGATATATCAATTATGGAGGAAACAAATTCTGAGTCACATCTTGAATCAAAGTTTCACCAAATTAAAATCTCACACTTTTTAATATTTCCACGTGGCGCTTCACTGAGTCCACATCACCAAAAAGTCACTTTGATCTAAGCATCGTATTAACAAAAAGTATGTACGGATGGAGACAGTATAAGACAACCCATGTTGTCCACAATCTTAAGTTTTCTTTTTTGTGTTACAATCTTTATAAATTTGAGACGAAATTATTTTCTCCTATAGTCTTCATTGCAAAAGATATAAAAGCCCCCTAAAGAAAGCTTCTTTCCACTTTCTGCAATGGCTTCTTCTAAAGCTTGTTATAAAGTCATAACCATTACAGTTCTCCTTCTATCCTTCACATTTACCTCTCTTGCGGGTAACGCGGAAAACGCAGATGTTAGTGAATGCAAAGCTGAATCTGGAGATCCATTATGTCACAACAACAAAGAAGCGCAAAAGCTTAAAATCATAGCAATCCCATCGATCTTAGTGGCGAGCATGATCGGTGTTTCTTTACCGTTGTTAACTCGTTCCATTCCTGCTTTAGGACCCGACCGAGATATGTTTGTGCTCGTTAAGTGTTTAGCTTCGGGTGTAATTTTGGCAACCGGTTTTATGCATGTATTACCGGACTCTGTGGATGATCTCACATCCAAATGTTTGCCTGAAGATCCGTGGAGGAAGTTTCCTTTCAGCACTTTCATCGCCATGGTCTCGGCTTTGCTCGTTTTAATGATTGATTCGTTTGCGATGAGTGCGTATGCGAGGAGAACTAGTAAGCGTGAAGGAGAAGTCGTACCGTTAGAAAATGGATCTAATTCTGTGGATACACAAGATGAGATCCAAACCCTAGAAAATGGATCTAATTCTGTGGAGAAACAAGAAAAGGTCAACGATAATAAGACAAGTCAACTTCTTAGGAATAAAGTCATTGCTCAGGTGCATATATATATTTTTATATCATTTCTTAATTCTTATTTTGTAGTTGAAGCTATAGATCTATTTTTACTAAACACGTTTTCTCTTGTTAAAAATTAGTTTGAATTTTGATTTGGAATTCGAATAATCAAATACAAATCTCACGAGTATTTTAAAATGATATCATTTTGGTGCAGATATTGGAACTAGGTATCGTAGTTCACTCGGTTGTGATCGGTCTTGCTATGGGGGCTTCAGATAACCAATGTACCATACGATCACTTATCGCAGCGCTTTGTTTCCATCAACTTTTTGAAGGAATGGGACTCGGTGGTTCCATTTTACAAGTAAATCCAGGCTATATATGTATTAATTTGATAGTCAAATTAACAACCGGTCTAACATATTTTAAATTGTTTATTATAGGCACAATTTAAAAGCAAAACGAATTGGATGATGGTGTTTTTCTTTTCGGTCACAACACCATTTGGGATTGTTTTAGGGATGGCCATACAAAAGATATATGATGAGACAAGTCCGACCGCGTTGATAGTGGTGGGGGTCTTGAATGCGTGCTCTGCAGGATTATTGATTTATATGGCACTTGTTAATCTCTTGGCTCATGAATTCTTCGGACCAAAGATACAAGGGAACATGAAGCTTCATATCCTCGGTTATGTTGCTGTCTTTATAGGTGCTGGAGCAATGACTTTGATGGCCAAGTGGGCATAGAAGTCTTGAGTTAGACTCATCTTTTACTTCTATCATTCACTTTGATTTTCGATTATTGGTAGAACAAATTCTTGTATGATTTTGGTCTGCACAATTGCTTTTTATTTGTGGAATGAAGTTTGAATTTTGCATAAATTGTAGTATTTTTTTAGCTAAATTAAAAAGAATTGACTTATTTCTTTCTTGTAATTGGAAAGATTTTTTCCCATGAGTTTTTATTTTCTTAATAGTTGGTGGGTTTGTAGAATTTATTTTCACCTCTGGCGTTACGAAGATTGAGTTGCAATGAAATTTGAAAATTGTGTTTTACTTGAATGGTGTTAGATTATTTACATATGAAATGGAAGAATCAAAATATAATTTACAAGGAAAAATGAATTAAATTAGAGTTCCAAAGTTTTGCTTTTCTGAAATTATTTTATTTTCGAAAAAGTTTACAACCTTAATAAAAAAGAGATTATCATATTTTAAAAAGTCTTTATTTTGTGCTTCCGAAGTTGTTAGTTGTTACCATCAAGTTGTCAAAAAAACGGTTTAACTCTGTTGTCGATTTTCGTTGAAGTCTTAGTCGAATCACACAATGCAGTCGATATCTTTTTATGATATGAAATCAAAATTTCTCTTGATTATAGAGAAGATGTTCGATGATTTGATTAACCATTGATTACAATAGAAGAAGACAACTTCGACATTATATAGCTTTGAACACATGGTCACCTAACCGGAACTAATATTCAAATCTTCAACGATTTTTTTATAATAAATAGTGTAATTTTCAGTTTCAACAAACCATATATAAAAAGTCTCGAGATATGACAAGCGCCCGTTTAGAAACAAATTAAAATTTGAAGATAACGCATACTAGCCATTTAATTTCCTTTTAACGTTGGTCAACAATATAATAAATATGACATGCCTTCGTTACCCAAAAATCATATTGGCTTATAATGGTAACCATCAAAAAGAAAAAGAAGATGAACATTGAATATTTCTTTATTTTTCAAAGAAGTACGTAGTATTTAATACATATGGTCTTCGCATAATTTCCCATCATTCCTTTTTATACGAAGGATTATAGAACAAAAGTATTGCTCACCAAATTTGGTGAGGAACAAGAACAAGAAGACCAAATCTATTTGCAAATATGAAAATAAAAAAAATTTAGGTAAAAATATAAAATACTAGTTAATGAAAATTACACTATATATTAAATATTTTCGAAATAACTTTTAAAAAGGTATAGAATTATGCTTAAAACAAAATTTTAAATTCAAATAATTATTGTGATTTATTTCAAATTAAAACTGACAAGCAATTAATTTTTGAAGATATATTTCTAAATGAAATTAAAATTATAAATTTCAAATGTTACCAATATTATATAATTAATTTTATAGAGATAAATCCAAAAATTAAAACCATTGTTTGTTACCATTCATTCCCAACATATCTCTTATTATTCGTTTCCAGACTTCATTCCTTAATTATTATATTTTCTTCATTTTTATTTTTGCACTCCTATTGTCTTTTAGTGGTCACCTGTGTGAGCCAATATTGTGTATCTTCTTGAACTATCAACTTACCCGGCCCGCACCAAAACAAATGGCATCAAAAGCGATTTCTCTTTTGTTTATCTCACTAATTCTTACATGTAAGTCTATCCATGTCTCGAATAAACATTCACATATTAAATCTAATGGATCAATTTGGTTTCGAATCACTAATGAAATCAATGTTCGATATTAGGCATGAGATCAATGAGCATACCTAAAGCTAAAGCCCAAGTACATTATCATAGCTGCTCGACGGTAGATGATTGCCAAGATGTTCATTGTCTGGGGGCAACAGTAAAATGTATTGACTCACAATGTCAGTGTCCACCGATTTCACCACATTCAAGCAGAAAAAGCCTTTATCTAAAACCAGCTGAAACCCCATTACCATGCAAGACAGCAAGTGATTGTGAGGATAAGCTCACTTGCATTTTTGGAAAATTTGTTTGTAAAAATTCACAATGTCAATGCTTAGATGGTTAGAGAACTTAGACAATTAATTTTTTTTATGTTGTTTTAATAAACAAAATGAATTTTAGACAACTGAAAATGTTATGTTGTTTTTTTTGTTTTGTTTTGGATTTATGTATATGAAACTGTCAATTTGATTTCTCGTAGTGTGAATGTTAAAGCGGATTCTTTGGCACGAAATGTTCGTACTGAACCGCATCTTATCACATGTGTAAACAATACTCCTCGACATTGACTCATTTGAGTTAATCTAATAAAGTTATTGACAAAAAAAAAAAAATTCAATTTGTTAATTTTGGTCTACACAAAAACATTAACTTAAGAGAGATCGAAGAGCCTCTCTCTCTTCTCTGCCTCAAGTAAGACATAGTCTGATTTAAAAAAATAGAGAAATAATTATCTACCATAAATGAAACATATCCATCCAATATCTATGTATATCTATATGCTTGGTAAATTTTCAATTTAGATTTGAAATGAAAATATTTGAAATGAAAATAAAAAGTAAAAAAATCTTAGATCAATGGTTCAGATTCGCTAGAGAAAGTAGTGTTGCTAACTTTGCATGATTATTTTCATTTTTATGCAAAGTTTTAGAAGGTAGTGTTGACCAAAAAAATCTTATATTAATTGGTAACCACACTTACTATTTGACCAATCAAACAACCAAACTATTTCAAAGACCAGTATAAATATTTGGACAATCAAACAGTTATATAGTAACAGACATCATTCCTCAAAAACACAAAATTTGAAAATACATATTCATCTTTCCATCTTCTATTCTATCAATGGCGTCTAGAGCAACATCACTTTTCATCTTCTTCTTTCTCATCTCTTGTAAGTTTTTTTCTTTATATCTCTACAATACGCATCTAAAACAATACTAATTCTAAAACATGTTTAAATGTGCATGTTAAATAATTCATTTGTATATCATGTAGGCACTTTCATGTTGCTTGAAACCAATGCATCAAGAAATGAGCATAGTAGCAATCTTCCATTGTGCACATTCAAACTGAATTGTAGTGGCATATGGTGTCCTGAAAAAATAGAAAAGCATAACTGTATCAGGTGGACTTGTGGCTTTAGTGAAGATTGTGACAAGTTTGTTCGTTGCGAAAAAAATGCAGGACCTGTTTGTTTTGAGGGAATATGCAATTGTACCCAATAAGATAGTTTATTGGGTAATCTGCTTTTCTAGCTTTGTAATCGATATATGAATACAATCGCAACAATTTTATTTTATCCTTCCGACGTTGTTAGTTGTTACCATCAAGTTGTCGAAACACACAATGCAGTCGATATCTTTTAAGGATATGAAATCAAAATTGCTCTTGATTATAGAGAAGAAGTTAGATGATTATTTCTCTTGATTACAATAGAAGAAGACAACTTCGGCATTACAGCTTTGAACACATGGTCACCTAACCGGAACTAATATTCAAATCTTCAACGATCTTTTTTTAATAAATAGTGTAATTTGTGTAATTTTCAGTTTCAACAAACCATATATAAAGTTTCAAGGTAATTTACAAGTCTCGAGATATGGACAAGCGCCTGTTTAGAAACAAATTAAAATTTGATGATAACGCATACTAGCCATTTAATTTTCTTTTAATGTTGGTCAACAATCTCTATACTATTAAAAGAGAAGTACAAATGAAAATGAGTCGGATTAAAATCAGAAAATTGACCCGAAATTCTAAAATCGGATCTTTGAAATTCTTTTGGAATATAAATTCGAATTAATAATGAAAAATCGAAATAAAATCAAATATTTATGGAAATCAAATAAAATCTGATTGAACTTATGGTAACTAATAATAAAAGCATATTCCAAACAATATTATACATTAATTACGTATAATAAATTTGTTCATATATTGTTGGGACTAATTCCATAACAATCAACGTTTTTATCATTAATTTCGCTCATGTTAGCCAATTATCATTAATTGAAAGATATTTTACTTGCTTCTAAAGATTTCTAGAAAATTTATCACAAATAACCCATCTGTTTTATAAATTAAATAGATATTTTTATTTTGGTCGTGTAAATTAAATAGATATGAAATCCATGTAACTAATTTTAATTTAATTAGATTAAATCGAAATTATGATATTTTCATACCTATAGCTTACCAAAGAATTTTAATTTTCAGTTTATAAAGATTTCTTGAATATGATTTTAGAATTATTCAACAAGATGATAAGTATTTATTAAATTTTGTGAATCATGAAAAATAATAATTAATTTTAATCATTATATTTCATCTTTCAATCTCTCATCTAACAAATAAGATACATATTATATTATTACTATGTCCAAACTTTATTTTGTTGTATGACTAAATAATATTCCCATTAGAACTGTCAAAGCGAGTTGATTCGTCCCGTTAAGTCCATTTTGCGATAGACAAAAAATATTTTGACTTGTAGTTAGTCGGTCCGCACGACCCGCGGGTAGCATATATGAAATACAAACCCGTCCCACGAATGTATGCGGATTTGCGGGATTGTCCATGGATTTTGTTTAAATAATTTTAAAGTAACCAAAATTTAAAATACTACTAAAATAAATAAAGAAATCAAAATACTATTAAAAGTTTGTTTGAATTACCACATGTTGAATAAATTATAATTTTATCAATAAATACTAATATGCGGGCTGATCCGCCAAACCACGGATGAAAACCGATTAAACCTATGACCCACTGCAAATTAATCCATGTGGCCCGCTTATTTGCGGGTTTAATATATTTTCCCAAATCTGCCCCATAGTGAGATGATGTGGGCTCGACCCGCGGTTTTTGATCTATTTTGACTGCTCTAATTCCAATGAATCGTCTAATTTTAGAATTTTAAAACACAAAATTCTATTTTGTAAATCATAATTAATACAATGGGTATGTTTATAAATAATTTTACATTTTCTCTACAATTCGTTATTATGAATATTTATAAGTATACTATACGATTCGTTCTACTAAAAACACACATACAATATTAAACGCAACATATGTAAACCAATATTCTCCCGCGGTGGACCGCGGGTCCGATCCTAGTATAATAAATATGACATGCCTTCGTTACCGAAAAATCATATTGGCTTATAATGGTAACCATCAAAAAGAAAAAGAAGATGAACATTGAATTTTTCTTTATTTTTGAAAGAAGTACGTAATATTTTATATGGAGGATTATAGAACAAAAGTATTGGTCACCAAAACAAGAAGACCAAATATATTTACAAATATGAAAATAAAAAAAAATTAGGTTAAAATAAAAAATACTGTCACAATAAGAAATTTACATAAAAGAGTTAGTTAATGAATATTACACTGTATATTAAATATATTCGAAATAAATTTTTAAAAGGTATAGAATTATGCTTAAAACAAAATTTCAAAATCAAATAATTATTTTGATTTTATTTCAAATTAAAATTGACTAGTAATTAATTTTTGAAGATATATTTCTAAATGAAATGAAAATTATAAATTTCAAATGTTATCACTATTATCATATTATATATTAATTTTTATAGACATAAATCAGAAAATTAAATCCATTGTTTGTTACCATATATCCATTCCCAACATTTATCTTATTCTTCTTCTCCAGATTTCATTCCTTAATTTATTTAAATATATTCCCTTCATTTTTATTATTGCACTCCTATTGTTTTTAGTCGTCTCCCTGTGTGAGCCAATATTGTGTATCTTCTTGAACAATCAACTTACCCGCACCAAAACAAATGACATCGAAAGCGATTTCTCTTTTGTTCATTTCACTAATTCTTACATGTAAGTCTGTCTCATCTCTCGAATAAACATTCACATATTAAATCTAATGGATCAATTTGGTTTCGAATCACTATTGAAATCAATGCTCGATATTAGGCATGAGATCAATGAGCATACCTAAAGCTAAAGCCCAAGTACATTTTCATAGCTGCTCGACGGTAGATGATTGCCAAAATGTTCATTGTCTGGGGGCAACAGTAAAATGTATTGTCTCACAATGTCAGTGTCCACCGATTTCACCACATTCAAGCAGAAAAAGACTTCATCTAAAACCATCTGAAACCCCATTACCGTGCAAGACAGCAAGTGATTGTGAGGATAAGCTCACTTGCATTTTTGGAAAATTTGTTTGTAAAAATTCACAATGTCAATGCTTAGATGGTTAGAGAACTTAGACAATTAAATTTTTTATGTTGTTTTAATAAACAAAACGAATTTTAGACAACTGAAAATGTTATGTTGTTTTTTTTTTTTTTGGATTTATGTATACATGAAACTTTCAATTTGATTTCTCGTAGTGTGAATGTTAAAGCGGATTCTTTGGCACGAAATAACCGCATCTTATCACATGTGTAAACAATACTCTTCGACATTGACTCATTTGAGTTATTCTAATAAAGTTGTTGAAAAAAAATTCAAATTTGTTATTTTTGGTCTACACAAAAACATTAACTTAAGAGAGATCGAAGAGCATCTCTCTCTTCTCTGCCTCAAGTAAGACATAATAGTCTGATTTAAAAAAATATAGAAATAATTATCTACCATAAAATGAAACATATCCATCCAATATCTATGTATATCTATGTATATCAATATGCTTGGTAAATTTTCAGTTTATATTTGAAATGAAAACAAAAAGGAAAAAAATCTTAGATCAATGGTTCAGATTCGCTAGAGAAAGTAGTGTAGCCAACTTTGCATGATTATTTCCATTTTTCTGCAAAGTTTTAGAAAATAATGTTGACCAAAAAAATCTTATATTAATTGGTAACCACAATTACTATTTGAACAATCAAACAACCCAAATATTCCAAAGGCCAGAATAAATATTTGAATAATCAAACAGTTATATAGTAACAGACATCATTCCTCAAAAAGCACAAAATTTGAAAATACATATTCATCTTTCCATCTTCTATTCTATCAATGGCGTCTAGAGCAACATCACTTTTCATCTTTTTCTTTCTCATCTCTTGTAAGTTTTTTTCTTTATATCTCTATTATATGCATCTAAAACTACACTAATTCTAAAACATGTTTTAATGTTCTTGTTAAATAATTCATTTGTACATCATGTAGGCACTTTCATGTTGCTTGAAACCAATGCATCAAGAAATAAGCCTAGTAGCAATATTCCACTGTGCGGATTTAAACTTAATTGTGGTGGCATATGGTGTCCTGAAAAAATAGGAAAGCATAACTGTATCAGTTGGCCTTGTGACTTTAGTGAAGATTGTGACAAGTTTGTTCGTTGCGAAAAAACAGGACCTGTTTGTATGGAGGGAATATGCAATTGTACTAATTAATGGAATAAGATAGTTTATTGGGTAATCTGCTTTTCTAGCCTTGTAGTCGATATATGAATACAATCGTAACAATTTTTTTGTTGTACTAGAGATAATAAGTTAAGAGCATCATGTTAGACTGAAACTATGTTTACTACTATGTTAGCAGAATTTGCTTAAGGTTAAGAGCACCTCCAATAGGGTTTCTTAAAAGGTACTTAACAGAGTTCTTAAGAATAAAATAATTAAAATTAAAGAAAAACAGAGAAAATGCTAAGAATCGGTTCTTAGCTAATTTTTTAAAGGATTGTTAAGAACCCCAGACGTGTCGGGATGTGGTTGTTGCAATAGCCTTGTTTAAAAAATCGCTAGGCGCTAGTCGGGCGCTCGGCATGGGCCTAGCGATTAATCGGAAAATCGGATTAAAATCGGGGATTAATCGGGGATTAGTTTTAGGGTTATTTTAATATTTTTAAAACATATTAATCTAATATTATTTTCAAAATTGCAGTAAACACATAAAAATGTATTTTTGAGACAAATTTTTATAATTTTTATTTCAAATTTATGATTTTTATTAAAATTTGAACATAAGTTATTGTAAAACATTACAAACTCCCAATTCAAATGATTGAATAACAAAAATAAAAAGTTTTTTTATACTAGTAATCTAAAAAAATCGGGGTATGTAAGATTAGGCGGAGAATAATCGGATTATGCGGGAAGTAATCGGATTAGGCGGAGAGTAATCGGGTGACTAATTTCTTTAAGGGATTAGTCATTAATCGAGGCGGATAGGGTGGGCCTAGCGATTAAGCGGGGAGTAATCGGGTCTAGGCGGGGATTTTTAGAACATGGTGCAATAGTAATGACAAAACCATAAAGAAAATGAGTCCGATAATTTTTAACAAAGAATTTTTCGTTTTGCCCGTGTTCCTTTTCTCTGTCTCGACTCTCTCTCTCTTTCTTGTCTCTCTCCGATGGCGATAATCGGAAGAGAAAGTCCCGATTGTTCGAAGCTTTTGTTCTCTAAACCATTCCCCCCTCTCTCTCTCTCTCTATCACCATTTTTATTCTCTCCCTCATCAGTAACTCGACTCGGATCGTGACTAATGACCAAGTCTGTTATCTTTTTTATTTAGATCCAACAATTCGTCACGTTTTTTTTTAGATCTGTCTTGATTCTAGTTCGTGTTTTTGATAACAAGGGTTGCGTAAAAATCGAAACTTTTTTGCTTCTTTTTTTCAATCTTAGATTCGTTAATGTAGTAATGAGGGCGGACCGACATATAAAGAAGGTGGGTCATGACCCAGGTAAAATAAACAAATGTCTTTTTTTGTAGTTAAAATGTTAAATTCTCAAGAGCTCAGTTGGTAAAATCTCAAAGTATCAACACCCTAAACTCAAGTTCAATTCTCCAACTTGACACTTTTAGTCTTTTTTTTTTCCATTTTAACTTAAATACATGTCTTTTGTCTTTACATATTTTATAATTCTTTAAAAAAAAAAACAATGTTTTGTATACCTTTTTGTTAAATTATCCATCACATGATAATGTCTTTTGATCTTATCTCTAAAAATCACTTGGTCTCCAAGCTACTTTGTGAACAAGGCAAAAGACTTGTACTCCAAGTCACTTAATATTTATCTCCTCCTTAGCTTTCCTATATATGTCATTTTGTTTCATTGTAAAGAGAGAAGAGAGAACAAGAACAGAAAATCTCTTGTCGGGAACATATTGGTTTACACAAATATGTGAGTTGCATCCGGTGTCGTAGCATCGGTTTCACGATCGTGCAACGGAGGGAGGCAGGACGGATCCGTTACAACGGGTTTTGATTGGTCCGGGCTCAAAGGACGCCCCGATCACGAGGGATCGTGACCGGTCTGGAGATTCCTGGCAACACCGGTCACGGGCTATATGGCCGGTGGCGGGTCGATGTATTCGTTTTCGATTTCGGACGATTCGGTTCTCTTGATGTAACTTTCAATCTAGCAGGCAAGCATACATATTTTTCTCGACCAAAAACTTTAAAATATACATATTACCTGTGGATTTTGAGTTCCATGAAGTTTCTCGATTTTGAATTCACATGTTTTGGGTACGACACACAATGAAGAGTTGTTTCGGACATCTTCCAATCTAGTACGGGAACTAATGTTTTTCTCTCGGTCATTTTCTCCAGAAGGGGTACATTACTTATGGATATTTGATCTAAAGTATTTCCTGAAACATTTAAACTTCAATCGGTTAGTAATAAGTATTTGATGTACCTTTATGTCTATTTCTTCCAATCCACTATGTTCCTTGATTTGTTTTTCTCGCCCATTTTCATCTCAAGTCAATTACACGAAGTTAAGATCGGTGGTACGGTGACAGCTCTTTTGGTGTTGCAATCGTCATATCTTTCAATCTATTCTGATGTCGGGCACATCTTTCTCGATCATATGCTCTAAAAGAAGCATATTGCTGATGGATTTTGAATCTCTGGAGATTCTGATGATGTCGACTTCCGTCGTTCAGTAAGGCTCAAATGAAACGGATAGCACTATCTTGCAAATGGATCCTTCATTGAAAATTCTGTCTCGCCCATTACTCATGAAATATTCAAGTTAACAATGAATACTCAATCACAGATAATTTGATCGGACAGATAGTGTTGTTTAGAATACTTTTACATTAGAAACTTACAATATTTTACAAGTAACTTTCAACTTTGTCTTAGATCGAACATATTAGATTTGAGGAAAATTTGAAGATAACAACACTATTGCAAATCAAAGTGATATATTAGACACAAAACGGTTTAAATTTTTTTAAAAAAACTAAAGATGATGGATTGATTTTGTTTTTGTTATAATGAGAACGTTCTTGGATGCTTTCAATCTGAAATGGAACGAGGAGTGTACTTGCGAAGATGTATGATCTTTAAATGGTGATAACAACACTACAAGAAAACATAGCAATTTCCGACGAACATTTCCGACGAAATATTTAGTCGGAATTATTCCGACGGATTTCCGACAAATTTCCGACAAACTTCCAAGAAAATAATATTTCGTCGGAAATTCGTCGGAAACATAAAAACTTTTCCGACGATTAAAAATTCGTCGGAATTTCGTCGGAAATATTTGTCGGAAACCATGGAAAATTCCGACAATCCAATGTCATCGGAAACTGCTCGGAAACTTGTCGGAAAATTTGTCGGAAACAACGATGTAAACACGTGATTATTCACTGCACATGTTCCGACGTAATCCCGACAACTTGAACGAAAAAATTAGTCGGAAAAGTTGTCGGAAAATCTAAAGTGGTTGCCTTTAATATTTCCGACGAATTTCCGACAAAATGTCGGCGGGAAGATCTGTCGGAAATTCCGGGGAAATATTTAAGGTATCCACTTTAGCCTTTCCGACGAATTTCCGACAATTTTTCCGATGACTTTTTGGGGGAAGTTTTACGGAAATATTAAAGGTCGCCACTTTAGCATTTCAGACGAATTTCCGACAAACTTTCCGACGACATTTTGTCGGAAATTCGTCGGAAATATTAAAGGTAACCACTTTAGAATTTCCGACGAATTTCCGACAAAATGTTACAAACTTTCCGACGACATTTTGTCGGAAATTCGTCGGAAATATTAAAGGTAACCACTTTAGAATTTCCGACGAATTTCCGACAAAATGTTAGTCGGAAAAGTTTTATATATATACTAGACAACGAAAGAATCATAGACACTGGGCCCAGTGATGCGATATAGGAACCGGACTCAAAACAGAATTCGTCGGAAAATCGTAGACAAATTTCTAACTTTCGTCGGAAAATTCGTCGGAAACAGGTTACATCAATTTCTCTGACGCTCGAGATAAGTAAACGGCAATAGATTTAATGTAACCAATTTCCGACGAATTTTCCGACGAAATTTAAAAATTTAACCAATAGATTTTTAAATTTTTAAAAATTTAAAAATCCGCCGATCTAAGCCTTGGTCCGTTTATCCGATCGTAAACAGATCCGGTTATACGTTAACCCGACCTGTTGACACGACGATCGATCCGCCTATCCCGGTCGGTCGATCCGTCTGTGCGACGGTCTATCCGAATCTGTCTTCTTCTCCGATCCGATCCTTCTGTCCAACGATCGGTCTGTCCGATCCGATCCGTACGACGATCGGTCTATCCGATCTGATCCGTCCGACGATCGGTCTGTCCGATCCGATCCGTCCGCCGATCCGTCTCTAAGACGATCGGTCTATCCCATCCATCCCTCAATACATTCTATCGAACCGTTGGATCGGGAGGTAGCATGCGCATCAGTTCGGTCGAGGCTCCGAGAATCTATTCCGATTCCGGAGATACTCGCCGAGCCGCACCCCCTTTCCGACCAACACTTCGTAGAGTGTTTTGGGACTTGTTTTGGATTGTTGTGATGGTGATTGTGAAGTGTGTGAGGATGATTGTGAGGCCCTTGGACGTCCTCCCTTATATAGGGGCCGAATGGGTGTGTTTCCGAAACATCACATCCATTCGTTGCACCCTTTCGAAAGGTTGCGTCTTTCCGATCGTAACCGTTCGGCCTTATCCACCCTTTGGCCAACGGTAACCGTTCGTCGGTAACCGCTCGACCTTACACCTCTTCATCCCGAGCTACCACAGTCCACCAGCTCGAGTGTCAGCTGACCGGACCACCCAGCTGGGTCAGTACTCGATCAGTTCACCGAGCTCAGTTGAGCTGTCGGTCAGCTCGCCTAGCTGAGCTAGCTAGTCCTTCAGCTGGTGTAGCTCTCCTAGCTGAGCTAGCTAGTTCATCCAGCTTGTTCAGCTCACCTAGCTGGTTTAGCTCGAACGTTCTTCCACGTTCTTTCCGGCTAAGTCTTTCGGTCCGTTTCTCGGCCTTGACTTCGCCATTCCTAATCTTTCCAAGATCATTTCTCTATGATCACTAGATTATCCCGAAACCGTCTAAGTCATCTACCCCTTTCATGACTTAAACGTTTCATTCCTTCCTTGGGTTAACTTATTCATTGGTCCTTCTCGACCATGATCTAGTTTTCCCTAAAACAAACCGGCCCCCTTTAGGATCCCGGGACGCGGGTTTTACACGGAGGCTATGGCATGGCTAAACATACTTGTGGATCAATGCCATATGTCCGGAAAAAGGAAAAAATGGTAAATAAAAATTTAAATTTTTTACATTTCAATTTGCATTATAATAAATTTTATTGTAAATTTTTAACTAATAAATATTTTAAATGCAAGCGTAATCCCGAAACCGGTGAGTATCCCGATATGGTGACATTCATGGAAGAGACTCATAAACGGAAATCGGACGGGACATTTGTTGATAAAAAAGCTGAGGCAATAGCTCGTCGATGTCGGGAGATGGAGAAAGAGAAACTCACACAATTGAGTCAACATTCGGACACGCCTGATGATTATCAACTCACCCAAGCAGAAAAAAACGATATTTTCCGATCGGTAAGTAATAGTAATTAAAATATTATAATTTAGATAATATGTTTTATTTCCTAACAACATTTTCATTATAATAGCAAGTTGAAGTTAAAAAAGGACGTAGATTTGGATTCGGTTCCATTCCGTTTGACGAAGACATGGGCGGAAGTTCGTCGTATTCACATGCACATGTGAATTGTCAAGAAAACGCAGCCGAAATCATCGAGTTGAAGACTCAGTTGAAAGATTGTAAGTTTTGGATGGATATGATGGCCCGTCTTCATCCCGACATCGTTCCGCCTTCTCGCCAAGATCAACCCGGAAATCAAAATGAAACAAATAACGTTGACACTCTATTTGATAATATATAATATTCGCGTTTGTAATAATTTTTAGTTGTTTAAGAACTTATTAATGTTTAATTATGTTTTTTATATTATGTGGTGAATTTTATTTTTTTTAATTATGTTTTTATATAATATTTGTGTTTGTTTTATTGAATTATTACAATTAAATTAAATTAATATTATTTAATTTAATTAATTATATTAATTAACAAAAAAATATAAATATATTTTTTTAATAAAATATAATATTTCGTCGGAAATTCATCGGAAAATAATAAAAAAATACGATTTGTCGGAAATTCGTCGGAAAATAATAAAAAAAAATACGATTTGTCGGAAATTCGTCGGAAAATAAAAAAAAAAAATACGATTTGTCGGAAATTCGTCGGAAAATAATAAAAAAAAATACGATTTGTCGGAAATTCGTCGGAAAATAATAAAAAAAATACGTTTTGTCGGACATTCGTCGGAAAATAATAAAAAAAATACGATTTGTCGGAAATTCGTCGGAAAATAATAAAAAAATACGATTTGTCGGAAATTCGTCGGAAAATAATAAAAAAAAATACGATTTGTCGGAAATTCGTCGGAAAATAATAAAAAAATACGATTTGTCGGAAATTCGTCAGAAACTATTAAATATATTATTATATTATATTTTGTCGGAAATTCGTCGGAACGTTCCGACGAACTTCCGACGATTTGTGGTCGGAAAATCGTCGGAATCGTACTCGATCTTTCGGCGTCGTTTGTAGGAATCTCCTCGGAATGGCGTCGGAATATGCCGTCGGGATATCGTCGGCAATTTTCCGTCGCTATTCCGACGGACATTTCCGACACCTTTCCGACGGGCTTTCGACGAATATTTCCGACGATTTTCCAACAAATATTTCCGACGAATTTTCCGACAACTCATCTTGACAGAAATTTCCGACGAATTTCCGACGAATATTGTTTTCCGACCAGAGAATTCGTCGGAAACATCCATTTCCGACGAATTTCCGACTATTTGGTTTGTCGGAATTTGCATTGTTTTCTTGTAGTGCAATAGGTGTTTTCAATAAATTGGCTTAGCCCATCAACCTTAACTTTGGGCTTATTGCCCGCCAATTTTCCTATTGAGCTTCAAGTGTAGTTGGACTTGTGCAAAGCTTTCCTTGATCTGCCCTAAATCGCTAGATAAAAATGTGATCTCCATCTTCCTCAGCATACTCCTATTTATTTCATTGGTGCAAGCTTCATCATGGAAGGTCATCTTTACTGGTGCTTCGTGTCAGCCGCTACGCTTCCTATCCATGGAGTTTTAATTCACTAAATTTCTCCTTTATGGAGAGATCATCTCGAAAACTTCTTTCCTCACGAGAGATAATTCCTGCAAATTTGTTCATTTGTATAGAGATCGTCCCTGCGAACATCCTCTTTTATGAAGAGATCGATGCAAATTATTGTCTTTTTTATGAAGATATGGACTCCATCATTAGCCTCCGTTTTGGAGAAATTTGTTGTAGACTCTACTTTTGTTCTACCCGTACGAATAATTCTTAGTCACGAGTTGGTCACCGTATTGAGTTTATGGACTCAAATGGCCAATACTAGGTTAAGAAAAATGACACTTCGTCGCCACCGAATCGTGTGAGTCACCAAAAACAAATGGTTGACTAAATATGTTAGAGTCAACATAGTTTCTCGAGCAAATCTAATAGTGTAGGTAGTTTATTTAAATTTTATTAGCGTTGAAATTAAAAAAAATGTGATCAAGTCTGAAGATGTTTGCAAAATAAGTGATCATTAAACGTGACATACGAAATCAAGTACTTCTAACAGAAACAAGGATGTTGGAAAGCTTTTTATATTGTTTTTAGTCTTTTTTTATTAATTTAAAAATACACTTATGTAATTTTGATGATTT